CTGGAAAGAAATCTACCATTGTCCCATTCACTATCACTGATTAATGACAATTCCGAACACAACCCATGATCCATTTGCACCTTCTAGCCCTAAACCCAAATTTAGTCATAACTTTCCTAAAAAATTCCCAGTCCACCAGGTCATAAGCCTTTTCCAGGTCCAATTTACAAACCACTCCCTTCTTTTTATCCTTCTTGAAACTCTCCACACTCTCATTAGCAATGAGGATTTGATCAGTAATCTGTCTTCCACTCACAAAGGCTCGTTGATTCTGTGCAATGATGTTTGGCAGTACCTCCTTCAATCTCAAAGACAACAGCTTTGCAATAATCTTGTACAAGCTATTTACCAAGCTGATTGGCCTGAAGTCCTTTGGAAGGGATGCATCTTTCTTTTTGGGAATCAAAGCTATAAAAGTGGAGTTCACATCGGGGTTAACAATTCCTCTCTTATAAAACTCTTCAAAAACCCTCAGAAGGTCATCTTTCAAAATATTTCAACAGTCCTGATAAAAAGCCATTGTAAGCCCATCCGGCCCTGGAGCTTTTGTTCTATCCATAGCAAACACAGCCTCCTTGATCTCTTCCAGATCAAACCTTCTTTCCAACCTTCTCCTGTTGTCCACCCCTACCTCTGGCCAGTCCAATCCTTCTACCCATACCCCACTACTTACAAGCCTTCTTAGAATGGATTTAAAGTGTTCTACACATGCCCTTGCTATCTCCTCTTGTTGTGTTAACTCAACTCCATCCACTACCAATTTGGAAATAAAATTTCTCCTTCTCCTCCCATCTGCCAAAGAATGAAAATACTTGGTATTTCTATCTCCCTCTTGCAGCCATTTACACCTAGACTTTTGCCTCCAGCTTATTTCCTCCTTATGTAGGCAATCCTCTAACTGCATTCTCAAGCTTCTTCTAAGTTCATTGTTTCCCTCTCCAAATTCTCCCCTTTCTTCTCTAGAGTCAAGACTTTCAATTTGGTCCATCAGACCTCTCTTTCTTTCTTCTAACCTCCCAAACTCCAAAAGATTCCACTCCTTAATCATTGCTTTCAAAAATTGTAGTTTCTTATGGAACCTCATCCCCTCCCATTCCACCATTGGGTTACATTCATACCACCACTCCCTTACTCTATTGGTAAATCCCGGATGGAGCAACCATATATTTTCAAATCTAAAGGGGGCAGGTCCTCCACTCCTTTCCTCGCAGATTACTATGAGCCAATGATCAAATGTCACCCTAGGGAGAGCTCTAGATACCAAACTCCCCCAGTGCTCCTCCCAATCCAAAGAGAACAGGAACCTATCCAACTTGGAACAAATGGGCCTAGATTAGAGATTTGACTATGTAAATGTCTTATGGGCTAAAGGTATCTCCTTAAGCTCAAAGGCACTCACAAACCTGTTAAATTTCCTCATGCTAGCTATCACCCTCTGATTAGTCTTATTGGTTTCCTCAGAGTATCTGGTCACGTTAAAGTCTCCACCCACACACTAGGGCCCATCCCACAGCCCTCGAACATCAGTCAATTCCTCCCACAATTCCTTTCTCTCTCTGTAGTCATTTGGTCCGTAGACATTTGTGAGCACCCACACATAGCCATCCTCTTGCTGTTTAAACTTCATAGAAACTGAGTATTTTTTAATCAATTCCTCCAAGCCTTCCACCACTTCCCTCTTCCACATTGTTATTATCCCCCCTGAAGCACCCCGCGAGGGAGCAGCCACCCAACTAATCCCCCTGGCTTTCCATACACTCCTTGCCCACTTATTATTAAACTCCATTCTCTTTTACTCCTGTAATAGTACGATGTCTGGGTCATACCTCTTTATTACCTCTTTTATTGCCGCTCTTTTCCTTGCACTTCCTATTCCCTTCACATTCCAACTAAGTATCTACATTCTCACTTATTTTTTAGTTCACTTCTTCACCTAACCACTACTTTCCCCTTTTCCTTCTATCTCCCTTTACCCTGAACTTCTTGTCACCTTCCACATCTCTTTTCAATCTCTCAACTTCACTTAATTTCCTCTTCTTTGTTTTGATTTCCTTCTTCCTCTTTGATAAGCCTTCTTTGAGTACATTCAAGTCTTCCAGACTACACCCCAACTTCCCCACAAATTCTGCTGTGGTGTCCTCCTTCTTAGAGTCCTCCACCACTATCTGTTCTACAAATTCCCTTCCAATTCTCCCTTCCTCTCCTTCTTCCTTTCCGCCTGATCCCTCTCCTCTACTCTCCTCTAAATTCTCCGTCTGTCTCAACTCTTGTTCAACTTCCTTAAAGACTTTCTCAATAGTTTCCAAAACTTTTTCATTCCCATTATCTTCCTTCCAGCCTCTCCCCACAGTCCTCCCCTCTCCTCATCACACTCTTTGAGAACCCACCACCTTGGTTGGAAGCACATGCAAGGGCTGTTGAGCATGGGACAAGAACGGAATCTGGAACATAGGACACAGAGAGCACATTAGTAGCACAAACTGAATTCAACTGGAAGAATGATTGGGGATGCAGACTGTTGTTACCGTCCACTCTTTCTTGTTCAAAGGGTTGGTCAATGTCTCTCCCTGAGTTGGTTGGTAGACCTTTCTGTCCTTTGGCTAGTTTGGCGATCTGTCCTCTCTACCCATTGTTTATCCCTTATTGTTGTGTTCCCTTCTCTGCTCAGGTTCTCCAAGTTTACCCCTTTTTCTTCATCTTGCACAATCGGAAGCCTTGGGAGCGCAACCGTCTGATTCCTGCCTTCAGTTCCATTACTTTCGCAGGATTCAACTCTTCCTCCATCACCTGTCAGATTCCTCTGGCCGTCTGGGTTCAGTCTCCATTCCTCCTCCAAGTCCTCCTGGAATAAACTGGTGATGTGCAGCCCGCCGATGTCACCTATATCGGACTCACCCTTATCATTCACACTTCCGATGCTGCTATCCTCATCCACACTGTCCTCCATTTCTTCGTTGTTTACCCCATAATGTACCCAGCCTTCATCCCATTCCTCCCTTTCATCAGTTCTCTCTCTTACATACCTGGGATTCGGCTTCTCTGAGGGGCGATGCACAGAACAATAAGCTTCAAGGTTCCGGTGAGGTACCCATCGCAGCTCCCTGTCACCTTCGTTCCGCCTCTGCAACTTTCTCCTTTCTGAACTCGCCAATGTGGAAGAAGATAGACCATGGGCATTGTCTAGCATCGGCCCACAATCTAAGCCCTTTTCCCGACCCACGTGAGGCTTTAAGTTATCACGTGGGTCGGGGGCATTTCCCCCCGGTTCGCTGTTCGGTCCGCCCATCCCCTTTCCCACACCTCTGCCCCGACCCACGTGATACATTAAGTTATCACTTATCACGTGGGTCACTAGGAAAGCTACAAGCCCCCGGTTTAGCTGTCATCCCACCCACACCTTTGACCGGCTTAGGTTGAGCCATTTGACGGCTCGGGCCACTTGAATTCTTCACCACATCAGCATATGATGGGCCGACCCCCTGATGGTTCATTTTAAAAGTTTTTAAATTGTTTCCTTTTTCGATGTGGCCGCCCAAAACCCCTCTCGAACCCGACTCTTCCTCTTCCCTAAAATGTCCCCCCCTTTCTTTCCCCTCCCCTCCCACTAAAACTTTGCCATGTAATCCTTCTTCCTCCATGTCACCTTCTTCTTCCTCTGAACAACTTCTCCACAGCGACGCTTCCACTTCCGTCAGGACCCAAATCCTCCTCCATAGTCCCTCCGAGAAGAAAGTAACCAACCGAGGCACCTCCTCCGGCTTGATCCCTCGGATTCTTGCCTTGATCGCCTTCAAGTCTGTGAAACTACAATCCTCCATTAATCCACCCATCGTGTGGACTATTTTTTCAACGAGCGATTTATTCCAGAGATTGAATGGCACCTCAAGAAGCTTGATGCCGAAACAAGCTACTGAAATGTCTCGCTCATTACAAGACATACGCCATCCTTCAACGACTATCAATCCCTCCTTTGTTTCAATAGCAGAGAGTTCCATTTTCGCTTCTCCTATGTCAAGGATAGCTCTGTTTTCACAGAAGGGCATCATAAGAACAGGTTCTCTAATGCACCAGTTCTTCCTTATCTCCTCGGCAACGAGCTGCCAGTCCGTGACCTTCCTTCCAGCCGTCAACACAAATTTATTGCTCCAATCCTGCTTGTCCACTTCGAACTCCAGTTTACTTGATTTAACAGAGCACGCAAAACATTCCTCCACTACCTTCTGAGTTTTCTGCGCTCCCTCTTCTACCAGAACACTCTCTTCCACCCCCGCCTCTGTTTTCTCTGTTGGAATTTTTTGCTGCACCTTTTCAATCCTCTCCGTCACTACCAGATACTCCTGTAACTTATCTGCAAAACACTTCCACCCTGTCTTCTTGTTTCCTTCCGGAATACACACTACCTTCCTGTTGCTTTTCCCAAAAGTTTCTGTGACTGCTGTGAACCACCCCTTTCTGTTGTTTCTTAGCTCAGCTATAAAGCTCTTCTTTCCCCTATTCAGCTGACATTTCCATCCAACTTGTGTCTTGCTGTACGTAACTGTATCCACGAAACCCTTCAACCAAAACACTGCATCCCTGCAAAGAAAGATGGTTGTCTGTTTCTCTTCTCTGATCTTCAAGCACGCCTGTCTCTTGTTTCTGCAAGCTTCAAACACATACTTTTTAGCTTCAAACTCCAGCCTTCTTCTCCAAGTAGCTGCCGACTTGGAACTCCATTTCCCCGCACTTTTTAGCTTCAATTGGTATAGTTGACTTTTCCTGTATCTTTGTCATACGGTCATACTAAATATGTTGTAGTTTTGTTGCCAGGATGCTAGCAAATCGGTGACTTGATAAACTCTTTTCTAGAATTCGATAAATGTTATTTTTCTCCTCTTTGGTGGTGTTTATTATTACCTTCTGAACTCAACTTTGGCCTTAATTGGTTCCAGTTAAATTATAGTTTTTCGCTATTGATTTCATGTTTATCACTAAAACATTTCTTTTCCTTTTACCTTCAGATAACCTTGGAGAAGATTGCCCAGTGTTTGACAACTTGTTTGAGTTTTGTCAAATTTATGCTGGGGGAACAATAGGTACGGCTTAACTTGTCACTATTGCTTTTAAAAGGTTGTATGAAGTTTTACTTAACCGAATTTCTGTTGTCAACAGATGCTGCACGGAGGTTGAACAATCAGCTTTGTGATATTGCCATAAATTGGGCTGGTGGATTGCATCATGCAAAGAAATCTGAAGCATCTGGCTTTTGTTACATTAATGACTTAGTCTTGGGGATTCTAGAACTCCTCAAGTATCATGCTAGGGTTCTATATATTGATATAGATGTGCATCATGGAGATGGAGTTGAAGAAGCCTTTTATTTCACTGATAGGTACTAATAGTTTATTTTGAGGATAGGATGGAGTTCATTATACCCACAATAATCTGGAACAAATTTGATAAATGGTGTGGTAAACATGAATTAGCTCATTAGATGCCATACTAAATGTCTTGCAGATTCCAGGACCATGGATTCAGCAATATGGATTGTCTCAACTGTGTTGAAGTAAGCACAAATAAAGTGTATAATTTATGTGGTCAACTAAATTACAGTTTTGGAACCTACGGGACTATTTAATGTGGCAATGCATGATATTGACAATCTGGATTGAAAATTGAGAATGACAAAAAGAAGATATTTTATGCTTCTCAAGGACACCACACGTTTATTCTTCCCTCATATATGATACATGTAGTCCTTATTGATGTACTCAGACTGCCTAATTGGTGAGAAACTATTGGGTGGCAGTAAACCTGATACTCATGCATGTTTAACATAAAAAAGATATGCATAACTGATTGCTATATCAGATGTAAATCAGTCCTCAAAAATAGGTGTAAACTTGAAAAATTAGAGAGAAAAAGGAGGAAGAAAAGTAAGAGCAGTAGTACAAGAGAAAAAGATGGGAAAAGAGGAAGAAGAAGATAGGTTCGAATAATCCTTCCCTCTCTTCTCTAATCCCTTTTACTAAAAATTAATGTTAAAATAATTACAAGTATGCCCTTAAGTGGGCGGTCAACTAGGCAGTAACATAAAGAGATTAAACAAAAAGAAATAACAGGCCCATTAAGAGAGGCCCATTAGCTAGCAGGAAAATAGAAAAAATATTACAAGAGAAGATACTAGGACCCATTTGGCCTAGTGTCTTTACACTCCCCCTCAAGCTGAGCATAGATGTCAATCATGCCCAGCTTGCTTATATAGTGTGTCATTTTCCCTCTCGGAACTCCTTTGGTCAAGATATCAGCCAATTGTTCTTCTGATGTAATGAATGGTAAACAAACTTATCTTGAGGAAACTCTTTCCCTTATAAAATGTCTATCAACCTCAATGTGCTTAGTTTTGTCATGTTGAACAGGATTATGTGCAATATTGATAGCTGCTTGGTTGTCACAGTAGAGCATCATTGGCTTCTCATAGTCAACCCCCAATTCTTTTAAAAGGGATTGTAGCCACGGTAATTCTGACACACCATGTGCCATTGTCCTGTATTTTGCTTCAGCTGAAGATCTAGCAACTACAGAATTTTTCTTACTCCTCCACGACACAATGTTCCTAGCGACCAGAGCACAATAACCTGAGGTGGATCTCCTATCATCAATACATCCTGTCCAATCAGCATTAGTGAAAGCTTCCAGCTTCATGTGTCCATGTTTGGCAAATAGAATACCTTTCCATGGAGTACATTTCAAGTAACACAGAACCCTTTCTGCAGCAGCTAAATGAGCATCTCTGGGAGAATGCATAAATTGACTAATAACACTTATTGCATAGCAAATATTTGGCCGAGTCATGCAAAGATATAACAACTTCCCAAGCAGTCTTTGAAACACCCCCTTATCAGATAAAATGTCACCATCTGTAGCAAAAAGCTTATGATTGGGATCAATAGGAGTGGAGATTGGTTTAGCTCCAAGTTTACCAGTCTCGGCATAGAGGTCAAGGACATATTTATGCTGAAAAATGAAGATACCATCCTTAGATTTAGCAACTTCAATGCCCAAAAAATACTGAAGATCTCCCAAATCCTTGATCTCAAATTCAGAGTTAAGGAATCTTTTGAGTTTACTGATTTCTTGAGTGTCATTACCCGTGACCACAATATCATCAACATAAACTACTATCAAAAAGGTCACCAGAGAGCCATTTCTCTTCAAGAACAGGGTATGATCAGATTGACTTTGTGTGTAACCAAAAGAGACAAGAGCAGCCCTGAACCTCTGAAACCAAGCCCGAGGAGACTGTTTGAGACCATAAATAGATTTCTGTAGTTTACATACCTGCCTTGCATTTTCTTCCCATACACCCATGGAGGCAAAGACATATAGACCTCTTCATGTAGGTCTCCATTTAAGAAGGCATTTTTAATATCAAACTGGTGTAGGGGCCAATCAAAAGTAGCGACTAGAGATAACAAAACCCTGACTGAGGTCATCTTATCTACAGGAGCAAATGTCTCAAGGTAGTCAATACCATACATCTGAGTGTAGCCTTTAGCAACCAGCCTAGCCTTAAACCTCTCAATAGATCCATCAGAGTGATATTTAATGGTAAACACCCATTTACAACCCACTGGTTCCTTCCCTTCAGGCTAGTCAACGATATACTAGGTATGGTTCTTATGCAAAGCATCTAGTTTAGCCATCATAGCATCCCTCCATTCAGGTTTAGATAAGGCTTCCGGTACGGACCTGAGTATCACATGGGAAGAAATAGAAGCAAGGAGAGAGTAGTAGGAAGGAGAGAGAAGGTTGTAAGACAGGTGTTTGGAGATACAATGGGAGAGAGAAGGCTGTAAGACAGGTGTTTGGAGATACAATGGGTTGTACACTTCCGCTTGCCCTTGCGGAGAGCAATAGGAAGGTCAAGGTCTGGGAAAGATGTAGATGGATCAGGGGAAGGCTGGCTTGTTACCTCAGTAATGATGGGAGGAGCAAGGGGCTCTTCTGTAGGAGTGGAAACAACTTGCCCATGTCTAAATCTGTGCCTTTGGTATCACCTTTGGAGAACATGATGAGAAGGAATTACAGGAGAATGAGATGGAGGAGGAGGAATAGGAATATTGGAGGTAGGTCCAGTGGGAGAAATGGATACCTCATGAGAGGACTCAAGAGGAATGGGAAGATGAACAGCTGGAGACATAACAAAGGGATCTTTAGATGTCTCCCCCTCAAGAGAAATACTAAAGAAAGGAGTTAACTCATCAAATGTGACATCTCGAGATGCAAAGTGGGTGCCACTAACTAGATCAAAACAATAATATCCCTTCTGTGTGGGGGCATATCCCAGAAAAAACACATTTACGAGCCTTATGTTCAAATTTGTACATTTGATGGCTGTGAACATGCACATAACAACTGCAACAAAAAACACAGAGAGGAAGAGAAAAAGATCCTCATCCGGGAATAGAAGGATAAAGAGGGTTTTGAAGTTAAGAACTTGGGAGGGCATACGATTGATCAAAAAGGTAGCGGTAAGAATAGCATCTCCCCAAAATTTTATAGGAACATGGGATGCAAACACGAGGGATTTGGCAACTTCAACCACTTGTCAGTTCTTCCTTTTCGCCACTCTGTTCTGTTGTGGAGTGTAGGAACAAGAACTTTGATGAATAACCCCAAAAGTTTCAAGATAGGCAGAGAGGGTTTTCTCAAAATGCTCCTTAGCATTATTAGAACGAAATATTTTGATCCGAGTGTTAAACTGGGTGAGGATGAGTTCATGAATTTTTTGCACAATAGCTGGTACTTCATCCCTAGATTTCATGAGATAAATCCAAGTGTAACGMGAGTAGTCATCAATAAAAAGGATAAAGTACCTGTAACCCCCCATAGTTGGCAAATGATATGGCCCCCACACATCAGAGTGAATAATATGAAAAAGAGAAAGAGATCTTTTATTGTTTACTGAATAAGAATGTCTACAATGGTTTGTTAGTTCACACGACTCACAATGAAGACTCAATAAAGACACTCCCTTAAACATATATGGAAACAAATGACTCAAAGCAGAAAAAGACAAATGACCAAACCGAAAGTGACATAACAAGACTTTGTCAATAGACTCTGACAAGACCGACTGTAAGGCAACTCCATGAGGTGGTCCAAAAGCTCTATCCGGTGTGTCCAACAAGTATATTCCATTCGCCTCATGGCCACTCCCAATCATCCTCTGAGATTGCAGGTCCTGAAAAACACAATATGTGAGAAAAAAGGTTATGCTACAATTCATGGATTTAGTTAAACTGCTAACAGATAAAAGGTTTTTATTAAGTTTAGGGACATGAAGGACAGAGGATAAATAAAGGGTGTCAGAGGTCTTTATATCCCTTTACCAGAAATGGGAGCAAGAGACCCATCAACAAGGGATATTTTCTCTTTACTAGAGAGAGAAGGTGGTATGAGTAGAAGAGATTAGACAGGCTGGTCATATGGTTTGATGCATCGGAATCAATAATCCAAGGGATTTTATGATTACCTGAAACTGAAGCATGATTTGTAGAAGCCCAAATACCTGAGTGAGCAAATGCTGATGATGATGATGTGTTGCTGGAAGAGTGAGATGAAGAAACAATAGCTTCCAAGTGATTTAGAAGCCTCCCATACTTTTCAAAATCCGCCTTCATTGCTGCCAACTGCTCAATGATTGATTTTTCTTCACTCTCCTTATTTCCTCCTTTAGGTACTGTAGCAACATTAGCTGTCTTAGGCTTTTCTGCCTGCCTTCCTTTCTTAGAACTGTTGTTATTTTTAAACCTGTCCGGAAGAAGTTCAGGATGAAGCTTTCAGCAAGTGTCCTTTGTATGCCTCGGTTTCTTGCAATATTTACATATCTGCTTCTTTTTCTCAGTAGGAACCTTTGGCTTTATTCCAGCATGTGCAAAGTGTTCTGTAGGTGGACTCTGTAACTGAACCTGTTGCTTACTCTCCCCATTGCTTATCATAGCGTATGCTTGGGAAAGAGTAACCTTATCTTTGGCCAGTATTTTGCCTAATGATGTCAAACTCAGGGTTGAGTCCAGTAAGAAATTCAAACACCCTATTTCTCTCCACCAACTTCCTATACATTTAAGCATCATTCTTACTCTCCCATACAACTGTCTCCATAACATCAATTTCTTGCCATAGGGATTTCAGTATAGGATAGTAGATTGCTACACTCTTCTCCCCTTGTCTTAGGTTCTTCATGTCACTTTTCAAGTTGTAGACTCTGGCTACATTCAACTTCTGTGAATAGGTCTCAGTAACACTGTCCCATATCTCCTTGGCCGAAGACATCCAGAGATAATGCTGACTTATATGAGGTTGCATAGAGTTGACCAACCATCCAATGACTGTATAGTTCTCCTGCATCCATTTCTCAAATTCAGGGTCTGTTTCTTCGGGTTTCACTTTACTACCTATGAGATACCCGAGTTTTCCTCTACTACAGACATAAATTCTTGTAGGCTGTGTCCAAGCAAGATAATTTGTCCCATCTAACTTGATTGTGGTCACACCAGTCAAAACGGAATCTACTGAGCCGAGGCCAGAAACCGGCACTTGCTTGAACTCACTTTCATATGGCTCCATTAATCAAACGAAAATCAAAGAACCAGAAATTTGGTCTATATAAACTTATTTGAAGTCAAACCAGAACCTAGATGCTTGAAAACTAGGGTTTTACTCCGTCCAGCTGTTGGGGAGGAAGAGAGAAGATGCAGTCGCTCCTACCAGAGCTTCCCAATCTCTTCCAAACCTGAACCGCCCTCCTTTAGGAGTCAAAAGACACCTCCCAAGCATAGAGCGCCACATCCAAAGCTTCACTTTTACCTGTACCTTCGAAAGTCTCTAGTCGGCTAGGGTTTTGGGCAGCAACAGAACAACACCACTTCTTGGCAATATCCAGCCAAATTTAAACTCTCCAATCCCTCTACCAACTAGGCTAGAGATCCTCTGAGCTATAGAGAGCCTATCTCTCCATACACTCTCTTAATCAAAGGGTGTATGGGAAAAGAGGAAGAAGAAAAGAAGGAAGAAAGAAAGCTGCTCTGATACCAAGATGTAAACCAGTCCTTAAAAATAGGTGTACACTTGAAAAATTATAGAGAAAAAGGACGAAGAAAAGTAAGAGCAGCAGTACAAGAGAAGAAGATGGGAAAAGAGGATGAAGAAGAAGAAAGGTTTGAATAATCCTTCCCTCTCTTCTGTAATCCCTTTTACTAAAAATTAATGTTAAAATAATTACAAGTATGCCCTTAAGTGGGCGGCTAGGTAGGCTGTAACATAAAGAGATTAGACAAAAAGAAATAACAGGCCCATTAGCTAACAGGAAAATAGAAAAAATATTACAATAGAAGATAGTAGGACCCATTCGGCCCAGTCTCTTTACAATATTGACATATTGTACAATCTGTTAAATAACTTATTTTTAGTTGTATTTTACTTTTCTTTTCTTGGATGGACTAATCAGATAAAGAGGCTTTCATTTATGTGGACTGAATTTCATAGTACAAATGGGATCATTCATTCTTTTGGAATTTACATTGACAAAGTTTCATATGACAGGGTGATGACTGTCAGTTTTCACAAATATGGGGATATGTTCTTTCCTGGAACTGGTGATGTTAAGGTGATCCTTTTATGCTTGTTTAACTTGATTATTAATTTTCTTTATTTTTCCTTTTATACGGTTTTAATAAGATATCACTATAGGAAAAAAATAGATTGTAAAGAGCCATACTTGAACTATTGAACAAATCCCATTGTTGAGCTAATGGATATGTTGATTAGAGATTGTGTTGAGGAAGTATGTTGAATGGAAAAGGAGGTGGTGAAAAGGAGTTTTGAGATGATAATGTAACTTATGACAAAATGTTTAAGATAAGTAAGAAAGTGATTTGAATAGTGTGCTTGAAAAAGAAATAGAAGTGGTATTTATAAAAACAGAGAAACAGAAGTGGGTAAGAAGTTGGAGTTCTTCTTTCAGGAAGTGAAGATTTTTGCAGAAAAGTTTTCTTAGAATTAGAAGAGAAGGAAAGAAAGATAAATCTCAAACCCACAAATTCAGATGTCAATGAGTAGATTGGAAGTTTTCAATAGAAGTTGGGGACAAGAAGTCATATGGGAGTGCTGAATCATGTAAGGATGGTGTTTTGGTGATTAAGTTGAAGCAAAGAGATAGTTATGAAAAAAGATATCATATCTCCTAAGATTTATCAAAGAAAATGATATCTTATCACCTAAGATTTTTTTTTTGTATGTAAAGTATTGTATTGATATTGAAAGTCAATTACATCAGACCATATACAAAGAGAATCTGTACAATGGGAATATAAAACCTCAGAAGTTACCCGAATAAAGGTCCAAACATGCAAAAAAGAAATAAAGTGAACACCATGAAAAACCTCAGAAGTTACCCAAAGAAAGGTCAAACTTACAAAAAAGAATTAAGCTGGTCACCATGAAATATCCTTTGTACAGTGTACACCCAACCAAGAACACAATAAGCCTATAAGATTACCTTTAACCATTGTTTAGAAAACCGGACCAGATCGGCCGGTTGAACCACTTGAACCATGGCCTGGACCCCTATCATGCCCAAAAACTGCAACTTGTGAAAAATCTGTCAAAACCTGCTAACCGGTGAACCACCCAATCTCTAATGAATGGAAGTTTGAAAATGGTGTTGGCATGTAACCATTAATCCACTTGTTGTAATCATTTATGTCTCTTTAATGTATATATTTGCTTTTATACACGTATTTTAAAGAAAATGTAAGTTGAGAGACTTGAACCCTGGTCATTTACCATACAAATTAAAGACTTGGCCATCTATCTATCACATTCAGGTATGATAATGTTTGTAAAATATATTATTTATAATATTTATTGACCTGCAGTATATGTACTGACCCATGAACCTCTCTTTTCTGGTTTTATGCTCGGCCCGGTTCTCTGAACATTGCTTTTAACTTTATCTAAATCTGAAAATTTTTATCAAATATGCGATGGTTTTTTCCCATCCATATAGTCCACAAAATGGCAGCCAGTACAGTCTTCTATAACAATTTCCCCCTTATATTTAGACCCTTGATTGTCCACCCTTTTGGAAGTTGAAGAACCGGTTCAGGTTGGCAAAAGTGAAGATCAAAGCAGGACCTTGTCATTGTCAGCTGCTGAGGAAAGCTGCCGTGAACAAAGATGTGATTTTGAGGATTCAGGGGGCTCATTACATAAAGAACATAAGATGCTGGGCTGCGTGAGTAGAGGCATCCCTCTACCTCTAGTCCTCTACTAGACAGCTGGTATGTAGTTGAGCGTCTTTCAAGGGCTGCAGACCATACCAATTACCAAGAAGGCTATTTTTGAAGGTATGTGGGAGCTCCAGAGTCCAGATTAAGGCTCAGGGCAAATCATTATCCTCCCAAGGGGCTACTATTAGAAAGACTAACTGAAAACTTGCCTGAACTCTCCCTAGACATATTCTTTCATCTTCAGATAGCGAGTTAGGCTTTGTGCTTTGAATGAGACTTAGCAGCTGAATTAGCAGAACTATTTCCCAGTCATTGAGATTTCTTCCAAATGTGTGGCCCCAAACTGCTTTTCCGTTCACCAGATGGTCCAGATCAAAGCAGCCTTCAACTACAGCTTCCTTATTTTGAGCTATATAAAATGACAGGGAATCTTTCCTTCAAAGTGAGATCCCCACACCATTTATTGCCAGAATTTGTTGTGGTTACCTTTGCCGACTTTGTACAAGTATGCCCTTTAGGAAATCAGGGAGGACATTAAAGGTATTACTTCAAAGAGCACACCTCTTGGGGAGATGCTGGTTAGGGGAACAAATTCAAATTTGTACAAGTATTTCCAATCAAGGATTGGAGCCCATATTTATTATCTATGATCCTTATCCATTGACTTCGATTTTCCTTACTGAATCTCTAACACCCTTTGCTGAAGAGAGCCCTGTTAATATTCCTGATACCCCTGATGCCTAAACCACCAAATTTCTTTGGTTTACACACAGCTTTCCAATTCCTCAAATGGGATTTGAATTTGTTCCCCCAACCAGCCCATAAAAAGGTCCTCATTTTCATTTCTAAAAGGCAAAAGCTTTGCAACACTGGTAGGGATTTGAAATAACCACAGGCAATAATAAATAGGGAATGAAGATAAAACACTCCTTATCAATGTGAGGTTTACCACTGTTAAAAGCTGCTAATTCTCTAAGTATAGTACCGCAGGGGTACTATTGTAAATTTCTCTTATTTTTTTATATCCTGTCGCCCTAGTATATATACAAAAAGTTGGTGCCGCGAGCAAGACTTTAGGCTCTCAGATCTCTCTTCTCTCTTCTTCTTCTTCTTCTTCTTCTTCTCTCTCTCTTCTCTCTTCCTCTCTTCTCTCCTGCATAACATGGTATCAGAGCGGGACTACCAGATCTGAAAGGAGAGATCGAGTGAACAGTTTCCTTCGCACCAGATTTCCAGATCTGCCACTCATCTACTGTTTGGCTGATTGAAGATCAAGGTTTTCTCGTGCACTGAAGTAACCTCTCTCCTTTTTTTCTGGTCGTGCGCCAGGGCAGAACCTGTACTAGGTCTGCTGGTTGGATGTGAGGTGATCAGCACCTCTTTCTTTCCTTATTTGTGGGGTCGATTGACCCCTGTATAAACTGTAGGTTGTGAAGACCTTTTGTGTGCTGCGATAGCAACTTTTATGGTGAACTAAAGGTCAGAGAGTGACCTTTACTTGCTATAACAGCATCTCTGTTGATATGTAGGTCAAGAGATGACCTGTATGCAATGTGACAGCAACCAGTTTGATTCTGTAGGTCAAGGGATGACCTGTTAGTGCTGTAACAGCACCTGTGTTTGACAGAAAAAGGGTTGTGTTTCCGAAGACAAAAAGGGGTTCCTTTCTCCCTTGGTGTTAGACCTTTTTCTTTATGGTTTTGTACCCACTTTAAGAGTTTTTGAATCTATAATCCTGAGCGGTGAAGATTCTGCTACATCCAGTGTTTCCTCAATGCAGAATGGAATGAGTGGGGGTGTGGACCTATCATTTCTCATGGCTGTTATTCCTCTCGATGGCTTAAATTATTTAGAGTAGTCAAGAGGGACCAAGTTGTACATTACTGCAAGGGGAAAGATAGGTTATATAAATTGAGAGAATCAAAGAACCCAATTCTGGGAGTGCTGAGTATGACAGATGGAACCAGGAAAACATCATGATCATGTCCTGGCTTTTAGTGTCTATGCAACCTCAAATAAGAAGGAATTTTATGTGGGCTGAAACGGCAAATGAGATATGGGAACAAGCAAAATCAACCTATTTTGAACTGCGTCACTATGCAAAAATTTACCAATTACAGGCAGAATCGTTCACTTGTAAACAGGGGGAGAGGTGCTTGTCTGTATACTATTCAGACTTGACCTTTGTCTGGAAGGAGTTAGATCATTATCAGAGTGTGGACTGGAAGTGTGATGAAGATGCAAAATTGTACAAAAAACTTGTTTCCTAGCAAAGAGTGTTTGCTTTCCTACATGGCTTGAATCCTGCATATGAATCTATCAGAGTCCAGATCCTTGGTAGCAAGGATCTTCCATCCGTCTAGGAAGTTTATGCTCTAGCACAATCAGAAGAAAGTAGAAGAAATTTGCTGAACAATTCTAGAGGGGATGCAATTGTGTTGGCAACGAAAGGGAGTGTTACTACTGGTGGGCGAAATACCATTAAGAAGGGGGATTTTCAAAAAAAGGTGGATGACAAAGACAAACTATGGTGTACTCATTGCCAGAAATCCCGACACACCTGAGATACATGTTGGGATCTTCATGGGAAGCTGAAATGGGCTTAAGATTTGAGTAAGAAGCAAGGTTTAGAGCTGAGTAAAAAGTCAAGATAGCAAGGTACAAGAAAGCACACTATGGAAAATATGGCTACTTAGGAGAATCAGTCCCCTATTACTACTGTGACTCAGACACACTCCTCTGGATCTGATCCAAGGGAGGATATTATTAATTCCTTCTGTGACCATTTAGAGCTCTATGGTAGAGCAATTCGTTATATGGATGCTCCTTCCTCAACTTCATTTGCGTCTACATTAGATAACTCTGTCATAGCTTTCCATGTAGCATCTCATACCCTTGACACTCCTTGAATCATTGATTTTGGAGCGTCTAAACACATGACTGGTAAGTCCTCTTACTTTCAAACCTATCACCTCCTTTTTGGAAGAGACAAGGTGAGACTAGTTGATGGATCATACTCTACCATAGCTGGTCAAGGAACCATTTCTCTTTCCTTTGGCCTTACCTTCTCTAATGTTTTACATGTCCCGAAATTTCCCATTAATTTGTTCTTTGTTAGTAGTATTACTAATTCCTTAAACTGCTCAGTGAACAATGACCTTTTTCCCTTCTTACCGTGTGATTCAGGATCTGGCCTCGGGGTGGACGATTGATACAGGATGTATGGTGGATAGACTTTACATGCTGGAGAATAAGGTTGCTCTTTAAGTTACAGAGTCTAAGAGCCAGTCTTGTAAGAGTCAGGTCTACTTATGGCATAGTCGTCTTGGTCATTTATCTTTTGAGTCTTTAAAAATTGTGTTTCCAGAGTTGTT